GGTTAAGGGCATGTTTAGACGCGGTGGACATGAAAGTCAGCGTCAAGAGGCAGACAACCACAACCAGAGGCAAGACGCAGATACAAGATACTAGAATACAACATTCAGATGTACGACAGTGTCAAACATTAAAATTAAAGCAACCCAAAGACGAGACATGAATTTTTTGCGACTTATACCCATAAGTGGGGATTGCGCAAGGGGATACTATCCGAAGAGCAAGGAATATCATCCATTAAATAGGTGGAAGATACGAATTTAAATTGAGCTACATTTAAAATCAATAAGGAAGAGTATGAGGAAAAGAGGGGTATGAAGATCGAAATAATCCAGCAAAGAACATTCATGGAAACATGCAAAAATATACTTAAAATTGAGATAAATCAAAATTCGACAGCTTTCAAATCAATTAATATTTAAGCCCATAAAAGCAGCTGCTAAAAATAATTTTCTTAAAGTAAACCAATTATAAATTAAACCTTTTAATTTATTTCTCTAGGAGTTCAGCATATATTTAATGACTTGTATTTGATCATTCATCAATCTAAAATGGTGCCCTGTGAAATATTTAAATATCAATTTCACTTGTGACTAATTTAGGGCCGAGTACCGTTCCATTAATAAAGATATAACGTACAAAACTTCCCCTTGGTTGGCACTTTTCTGAACGTTTACTTTTTGGCAGCCGCAGCAGTATGCCAAACCGTCTTTTGTTGTCTTTGGCCGGGATCTGAAGATGTGCTCAACGTAGAGCCCACGCCCACGCCGACGCCCACGCCCCCACGAAAAAGAAAAGAACAAGTGTACGTACGTGTTCCAGTGGAAAGCCAAGAAGCCAGGAGCTGTCACACAACCCCCAACCAAAAGGCGCTTGAGAAATTAAATTCTAGTTACGCCTATGGAATTTAAAAATAGCAAACAATCGCCGGGGCGGGGCCTGGGATACTGGGATCCTTGGATGCGGTTGTTGAACGTGTTCAAATTGCCGAAACGCGTCGAAATTATGTTGATGTTGGATGTACGTGCCCCGAGGTCCGCCAACAAATTGAATATGTATTTAAGCAATTGCCAAAGTATACCATAAAAAGGGGAAAAGGGAGAGAAAATCAGCTTAAAGATATATGTATTTAGCATAGTATGGAGAGCATGTCATTCTTGAATCTATCTACTGTATCGTTAGGAACGAACTTCAACTTTTGGCATCTCATTGTTCCTCCATTGTCAATGTCTCCAATTTCTTTTCTCGCCTTTCTTTTCATTAATTTTTGATGTTATGTATATATTTAGGGGGCCCCGGACAAGGTACCCGTAAATTCCTTAACAATTCCTGTTCATCTTCTCTGTCACTTTTAATGAGTTTTTGTGCAAGAATTTTTTTGTTGGTGCCTTTCTTTCTTGGCCCTCCTAAATTTGTTCGCAAAAAGTCGGCGAAATTGTCGCCGCTTCTGATAATCAGGCCAACCAGCCCCTACAAAAGGGTCTGGACCAGGGGATGGGGATTGTAGAGTGGGCGTGGCCATGACGCATTGTCAGCATGATTATAATTTCCATTAAGGCAATTTTGTATGCCAGCACCAAGTCATATTGAACTAATTTGCATCTCAAGGCGAGAGAAACAGTAAAACCCCAAAAGTCAAGTTTTTTGGAGAGAAGAAGAGAGTTTCTCGGGTTGGGATGGAATCTCCTCAAATCAGAGCCAAACCAAAAACCACAAAACAAACAGAAGAAGGCTTCAGACCAAGAGGCTGAAATTTGCATATGACTAAGTCAGACCCGACTTTTGTAAGTGAGTATCTGCACCAAATGGCTGCCATATGAGTGTGAGGATAAGTGCGCACAGTTGGTCCAGAAAAATACTAAAAACTAGCAACAATAGCACTCCGGTTCCTTGCGGCGAATGATTGTATGATTTTTGTATATTTTTGTGGTTTTTAAATTAACAAAAAATAGAGACAAAATCAGAGAAAGCTGAAAAATCAAATCGAGAGCAATCGAAATATTAAAATTCAAGGACTATTTGCTCGTGCACAATGCTATATATTGGGCTGTTGTACAATATAAAAGATAGTCTTCTGCAGTCTCCTTTGGACCTAACATTCTCTCTTAACCTTCAGTTTAAACCTTTCAACCCTTTTTCTTATATCTTAAAGCAAGCTCTTAGCCCAAATTGAAATCAAAGATGGTAAAACTTTTGTCAAACAAAGATGAGCAACTTTTGGTGGCATGTGAATTGAAAACAAATGCTACAACACCTCCAAAAAAGGAGGTTAAGAAAGACAACCCCTCAAAAAGAGGTTATACGAGGGGGAGACAGAGAGAGAAGACTACAAAAAGGAGGTTAAGAGTATGAGATGGATGGTGAGCTAGACAAAAGGCAAGACAGTAGTAACCTCAGCCAGATGACACTCAAGACAACACATCACTCATACGCCATGTAAGCAGCACACTTCAGCTGGGACTGGGACACCGCTGGAAACTGGGACTTCAGTGGGGAGGGGACACTGGGACATCGGATGTGGTTTGGAAATTGTCCTGAAATCGTGTATGTAAATGATTTAGCTGTCCAAAAACTTTTGTGGCGCCAACAACAACCGCACAAAGGAAAGGGAAAACTATGAAATATGCGTAGCATGTGCAGACAATTTGGTCATGACCTTTGACAAGGCATCAAGAAACGAAGTAGTTGCGAGGGGAACGGAACCCAACTTTTGTCAGGAAGCAAGTTTTCAATTGCCAAAAAAGGGACAAGGGACACGTGAAAAACGAGATGTTGATGAGGCCACCAAAGTGTGGCAAACAAAAGCGATATAGAAAAAAGGGAGCAAAAAAAAAGAGCGAGTGATAAACGAGACACCAATAGAATCGGAAAGTGGATTGTCACCAATCAGTTAGCAACGGGGAGGGGAAACGGAGACTGCCTCCACTTAACATGGCTAATCATTCTGAGCTGCTGGCCAAACTTTTCCATCATACAAAAGTACAGAAAACAGCAGAGGGTTTTTTCAGAGAAAAAGATAGAGAGGGGATAGTGATGACGCTGCTTTTATTGCTGTTAGTTGCTGTGGCAGCATTTTAATTAAAATTAATGCGCCATAAGCTTTAAATTAATTCTGCCTCTTCCTGTCACCCGCTAGCCGCTCGGCTGGTGAGAGGAGGCTCTATGCCCAAGCAACCATAAACGAAGCATTATTGCATGCGTGTGTTGTATCTGTGTGAAGCTATAACTACTAGACACACGCACCCACACACTGATGGAGGGAGGGGCCGAGAGAGCCTGTGTTAAGCCGGCTTTTGTTCGGCTCCTCCTACTGCTTCTTCTGTTGTGCTCACACTCGCATCGCATAAATAAGAGCTCAGGGCACGGGCTGGATCCACTTCCGCTTCCGGTTGTCAGCCATGTCGCCCACCATGCCGCCGCACCACGATTTGCCATGCAAATCGCCCAAGTAAACTCCACATTAAAATTGTCAAGGCGCCCATTCATTTTATTTTATTGCAGTTTATAAGCAGCAAAATATGTAGATGAGTATTAATTGTGAGGGTTCTCTCCCTAACCCTAAAACCATAGCTGATGGGGTTGCTATTTGGGGTTTATTTCGGGTGGATAGGGTGAGGGTTGCCACAACATAGTTGCGAAATGAATTGGTTGGGATTTAAGGAAAGGATGGAAAATTAGGTAAATATTTTAGTGAATTTAATTGGGGTTTACAGGGAAAGAAGGGAACAGCTACATATATATTCGTATTTACATAATGAATGTGGGTAGGGACTTAAAAAGATTCTTCCAATCAAGAAATTGTATCTTATGGGATAACATTTATATACAACTGCATACTGGAACTTGTTGGATTATTGCATCTTCTGCCCAATTAAAATACAGTGTTATATAATTGCTTCCTCTATTTTTCTTTTAGTTCTCTTTTAGTTTGTCTACCATTGTCCATATAAAAACATTTATTTGCAGTTTATGTCCTTTTAAATACTTTAAAGCTACATATTTCCATAGTTCCCCCTCAACTAGAATGTACGTTATTCAATTGCTGTAGTTTACATGAAACAATTTATGGAATTTGTGTGGGAGAATCCCTGTAGAAATATGCGCATGGCTGGTGTCCTGTAATTACAAATGTTCATAAACAGTTTTGGCCATAAATCTAATAAACTTGAAAGCATTCGCGAAACAGTAGTACTGATAATGGAAATGGGCACAAAAAGTGCCACAACAGGAGGCAGATATCTCTTTCTCTATTTATGAGAAAATTATGTCGAGTGCAGATGAAATATTTCCTCCAACAACAGGCGGACGTGCACCATGGCAGACTGAAATAAATTTAATTGAAAGTGCACATGGCAAATGGAAAATTGCATCAGCAAAGGAGCTGCAGGTCTAAGCAGGCCAATTGAGTGGCAGCCTCACCTGACAGGTAAATGATGCCAACGCAGCAGAAATAATGCCAATGAGGATCCCAGGCAGGTTGCATAAGAAATTTACTAAATGAATCAATTTTCAAGTGGCAGGAGGTGCCGCTGCACACCAGGGCGCATGAGTGAGGCCTTCATATGTGGCCAAAAAGTTTGCCATCTCAGCTGCAACTAATTGGAAACTAAGTGTCAAAGTGTATCATAAGAGCGTGTTGGGAAGCTGCCAAAAAAAACCCAAGGAGTACGAGTATTGGGGGTAAAAACTTGGCTGGCAAAACCAATTTAAGAGCCGAAAATCTTCGCTTTGGCATCAAATTTATTGCAACTGCAGCTGAAGGCTTGACAGGTTGTGGCATGGCTTTGTCGGGGATCCTTCGCAGCTCGGGTTTATCCTGTTTATTTAATTTTTTTTGATGCAAGCACCTTACTGCTTTTATAAAAATAATAGGAACGATTCAAAAACACCGAATCAAAGCATTTTCCTAGAGACATACAATTCATATTCAGTACGTTAGTTTGTAGTTTCACTCAGTACTCAACACATGGGTATTGAAAACCATTAGAATATATTTTCAAATACATTTCTCTCCTCGGAAGTAGAGTAAACGAACAGGAAACACTATAGAGCCATGGCGGAAATTGTGAGAGTGTCCAAAAGGAGCGATGAGAGTAGCCCTCTATCCATGACATATTCAGAAGCTGATGATGCAACATATACAAGTATAACTATAACAGCTGATGAGGTTCAGTCGCCCTCTCTTAATTCAGAGGACAATTTAGTAAGCTCCTTGGACGAATCAAAAACCCTCGTTGCCGCGGAAAACTACACCCAAAAGTGCCACAGTGCAGATGGATTTTTTTACACTGGTAATAGTGGTAAACGACGCAAATTCTCACCAAATTCAATCGTTTTGGCCTGGAAGAAGCATACCTACGAGTTCATAAAGAAGGAGAAGAAACCTAAGAAGCGCAAGAATCCACGTCCAGAAGGTTCTCCCAAAGTGGACCTAACGGACCCGTCGGAATTAATAGTGGCCAGAAAGTATCGCCTAATCGAGTGTATCGGGAATGGTTCTTTTGGAGAGCTCTACCGAGCTGTAGATATCAAGAAGGGCGAGGAGGTGGCTGTGAAAGTGGAGTACATCACTGCCGCACATTCGATGCTGGAGCGCGAGGCGAAGGTATACAAACTCCTCGCTGGGGCTGAAGGAATCCCCAAAGTACGATATTATGGACCTGAGAGAGATGTTAATGTTCTGGTGCTGGATCTGTTGGGACCCTCCTTGGAGGATCTGCTGAACTTTTGTACGCGCACCTTCAGCTTGAAGACCACCCTAATGCTGGCCTTACAGATGCTGTCCCGCCTGGAGTGTGTCCACAAGAAGGGCTACATCCATCGCGACATCAAGCCAGATAACTTCCTGATGGGCTTGGACGGGCAGCGCTGCCTGGTCTTCCTTATTGACTTTGGCCTGGCCAAGAAGTATTACGATCCCTACACCGGGAAGCACATCGAGTACTGCCAGAAGCGGGAGCTGGTGGGCACACCACGTTACTCCTCCGTCCGGTCGCATTTTGCCGAGCAAGGGCGCCGCGACGACTTGGAGTCCTTGGGCTACATGCTCATCTATTTTCGGCTGGGAAGGCTCCCCTGGCAGGGCGTTCGGGCCGACACCAGGGCACAGAAGTTCGAGCAGATTGGCGAGATGAAGGCCTCCATCAAGCTGGATAGCCTGTGCAACCAAATGCCCGACGAGTTCTTGCTGTTCCTCCGCTACTGTCGTTGCCTGCACTTCGGCGACATGCCCGACTACGTGTATCTGCGCAGGATGATTCAGAATATTCTATTCCGCAAGGGGTTGCTCAACGACTTTCTCTTCGACTGGGTGGACCTAAAGCACCTGGCCGTCTCTCAACGTGACTGCGCTGTTCAACGGGGGCGCCAGATCACAAAGAAGAACGTCAACTGCTGCTCTTGCAGTTACCACAAGTACAAGCGTCGCTTGGATCACCAGAGGGACCGCAATAGGGTACACCATCCGACGTGCCCTTTATAATATGATCTCATTTTCCGCTTTCCTGTTTTTATTCAGAATTAACTACCAAAAGAAAGTATATATACTCGTACATATATTTCGCAAAACCCAACCATCCGCCCATTCTAGGGGTTTTCTTTTGTTCATCAAATCAATGGTTCGCATAATTGGCAATCGATGCCAGGACACACAAAGGAGTAACTTCTCCGGGGCGTCAAACAATGGGCAAAGCTTTGACTGGGAATGTGTGTGGAGAGTATGTGGATACTCTGGAAACTAAAAGGATATGATTTTTGTATTGAAAGCGAGAACAGTTTCGTCTTAGGGGGTTGGGTTCGTTGCGGCCATTATCTGAAACGGGATTGCTAGTACATTGGATAGTAATGCTGATCACATCCTATCCAACTATGAAGGAATTTTCCTACTCCAACAAAATGAGATTCGAGAACATACGCCGTCTTCAGACACGACTATAAGAAAGTTTCCTGGTAAACTATGCTCACACCCACACACAAATACCCGGACAGGCAGCTCTTATGAGCAAGAAAGGATGTTAATAAAAGGGTTAATTATAAGGCAAGCCGGGACACGTTACGAGCGCCTCACATGAGTCGAGGATAAGAGAGATTCCCCCTGAGTTGCTTGAAAGGAAATAAGGTCAGCCCCAGCCCCAGAGTCACAGGCAAAGTAGTTTGCTTAGTCGCGCTGCAATAATGTGGACACACACACACACCCACACAGCCGTAGAGTTAACTATTTGTTGGCCCAAAGGCGATTCTTGCCCAAGGGCACTGCTTTGGTTCTGGCTTTGCGATGATGATGATGATGATGATGATGATGATGATGATGATGATGATGATGATGATGCTGATGTTGGAGGAGGAGCCGTAGCTGCGGGAGTATGGAGTGTGAGTGTGCATAAATCTATAAATAACTCGGTTTCCCTTAGTTGGGCAGACCTAGACGCTGACACGCCCATTCGACAGCCTATGTCCCTCTGACTAAGCAGCGACTTGGGAGTCACACACGCGCAAACACACACACACACACACACACACATGGTTCCGTTTGGGGCTATTCTCTGGGCAACTTTCCCCAAGAACTTGAATGCATGCCTAATGGTACGCCCATCCTCAAGCGCGCACACACACACACAAACATACTCCATCTCTCACACACTCTCATACATAGGCTCTCTTATATACATACATAGGCGTCCATACATGCACACGATGCGCTGAAGCGTTAAAATATTTGCAGGCTTTTGGTTGTATTCATACTCTTTGAAGATGAGGGTACTATTGATTCACCAGAAAGGCAGAGACGGACTTGTTCTTTTTACTACAATATATATATATTTTTTATCAAGCTGAGTAGCTAAAGCCGTTTCTGACCGATGACCAAGGGCGCACTTTAAATTATTGGAGAATCATCGTTATTTGTCTTCAAAAACTGACTGTCATAAAACCTACACATCCACGATGTGTTTTTAAGAGTATCTAAAGCTTCGACGAAAAATATCGATGTGGTTTTTCCTCTGTTCTCTTTTTGGTTTCCCACATTTCAAATTAAGTTTTGCTTTTTTTTTTTCGCCTCTGGCGCAAAATTGCTACAAATCTGTTTTTTATTTATAAGTTGCCACTGACCGAATGAGCGGACACATTATGGATAGCGCTGGCCCTCGGGAATGGGAATGGAAATGGGGTCCCCACTGATGGCTCCTCGATGAACTTCGGTGACATTCAAATTGGGCAGTTACCGAAAATTGTGCAATTTGAGGGTCGACGACGAGCGGCGATGCTATGTGAGTGTGGGTTTCGACTGAGTGGCCAAAGAATGTCTCTGTTAATGGCTCCAATGGGATTATTACATATTAATCGAGGGTCGAATTTTAAGCAGTCTCAGAAGATTTTCTGTTTTAGTTTAGTCTTCTTTTCCGGATTGAATTTGGTTCAAGAGAAGACACTACAAGAGTTTTTAGATTTAGTTTTAGATTGATGCCTTTCCTTACAGAAATTGGAGTGGAAAGGTCGGACCCCTTGAGCAGGAGCCTATCAATCCTTTCTGGGAGTCCTATCACTATATCGGGGCTCTCAGGCAAGTGTGAGACATAATAAGGGAACAACGCGTTGCCAAGCATTGCGCCAGCCTCCGGTTCTGGATAGAGCTGTAGCTATCAATTCCTACTATGATTGTTTCACAGCTTTCGGTGCCAGGCACTGAGAGGTTTTCTAGACCCAGGTCGGCGAGGGCAATGTAGCCGTCGGCATTCTGGTCGAATTCGTTGAATACCTTGAAAGCCACAGCGGTCTCGGGGCGCTTGAACCAGGCAACAATCTTGTGGGATACCTCTTCCATGCCTATGTCCCCCTCCTTGACGCTGATGTCCATGCAGCTGTGCTGCGTGAAGTTTGGTTTGGGTTCCATAAGCACGAGCATTGAATCGTGAGACGAGTCCTTGCCACCCACTACCCTACATTCTCTTTGATAATTTTAAAACAAAGTTCAATCAATATTCGAGCGATCGTTGTAGCAGTTCTAGTCACACAAGAGACCTCTCGACCATAAGAACAGCAGGGCCGTGCGCCAGCTACCACGCCGCAGCCATCACCGTCGACGAACTGGCCAAAACCTGAGCCACTCAAGGCAAGTCTCCCGGTTCAAAGCTCCATCATTTGTAGGATAAGTCTTTGAAATTTCTACCAATCGATCCACCAGAGGTGTATGATCGCGGGAAACAGGAGACCAGATGGATACAGCCAGCTACGGGTGCGGATGCAGAACACTGCGATTCAGAAGAAGAGCCTGATGGGGAAGCAGAGGCGAAGGAAGTGAACTCCGATAGTGTTCATTAAGGAAAAAACCAATCGGGAACTAGAACCGTGAGCCAGTCTGGCCGGTTCTGCGGATCTGCCGTCGTTCTAGCATTTGAATGTAATTTTAGCTCGAAAATAGTTTTTCTATGAAATTTTAACGTGTAATTGCGTTTAAGTGTTTAAATAAACAGGATTCTGTGGAGTTTGGTTGTATAATTTTATTGCCACGGCCAGCCCATTGATGCTTCATTAAATAAATGCACACATAATTTAAGGTGTTGTCGCCCATTAAATTGTCCAAATAGAACGTTGGCCATCAATTTTAATTTAATCAACAACTAAAACATGGCACTGGAGCATGGGAGCATGGAAAATGTTTATGCCTCGTGGCCAAATACAGATTGGACCGTAACCCAATTAAAACCCAAATACATGAGATGAAAATGTATATTGTGTGGCCAGCATATAAGATTATTCCGAAATTATGCAAGCCAAAAATGTTTTATCGCTGTCCTTTTATTGCTGGCAATTAATTATACACTTCAATCGGCTGTTAATTATGGAAAGGGCAGAGCCCGCCATAAGGGAAATGACTCTTGTGTTGTTGCCGAAAAATGGGTGCCTCAATAGCTACAGACCAAATATAATTGGCTGTTCTTCTTTCTATTTGTTAGTGGAAAATAATAAATTTTAAGGGATTAAAGTTGAATAAATGAATAGCTGGAATGGGGGTTACAAAGGTGCTCTCAGATGTTCACATATCATATAACAAAAATGTTTTATAGATGTCCAATAAATGAAAATGCAATATTGAAAAAACTCTTTGTTACTTTAAAGAAAAATTAACCTCTTTTCTTTATATGAGTATCACATAATCATACGAATATTTTTACAAAATAAGCAATTGCCCTCCCTGCCAGAAGTTTGTCTTCTCTGTCGTACATTAAATAATTGAAAATGTGTTAAAAAATGCACAGTGAATTATTCAGAAAGGAGACCCTGTAGGGGAGGGCACTTGTTTATGGGTACATAATGGCGGGGACTGGGAGATAAACCCGTGCTGGGACCCGGGTTGGGCTCTACCATATAAATGAAGTCATAAATTTGCCTTCACTCACAGGCGGCCACACAAATACACAAATCACTAAGCAACACACACACACACACACCAGTGCACTTAACACTCACACAGCAGCAGTCTCAGCACTCACAGACACAGCAGCATGGCATCGTTCAGTTGGCGAATTCCATTGCATAACTTTGAGCGACTTTGTGGTCATGGTTCTTGGTTGTTGCTGTTTCTGCTGTTTCTGCTGTTTGTTGTAACGAATGGTCAGCAGCAGCAGCAGCTGTTGCTGTTGCAAATCAGTCAACATGGCAAATGATTACAATGGCCAGGAGTCGCAGGGACTGAAGGAGAGAGATAGTAGCCCCCGCGATGTCGATAAGCTGACTCTGCCTTTAGGGCCGCGGCACATGTGGCGTATGATTAATGCGTCTGCACTGGGCTTAATGTCCTTAAATGCGCATAAATGATTGCAATTGCCCTTTTGGCTTTGTGTCGAGGCTGCCCTTGTTGTGTCACACACATCTCAATTCCATCTCAACTGCATCCGCGGTCTACAGTCTGCTGTTAATGCATCTGAAATCGCATCACGGTGGATCCAGTTGAGGCCATGTCTCTGGTGGGTCGGTCGGTCGGTTGGTCGGTTGGTCGGTCGGTTGGTCGGTCGGTCCATTCATTTGATTAAGTACCAGTACAAGGGACTCCCAGAGGCTGCCCTCCGACAAATGCATTACACTGGTTACTGCTTTGGGGAAGGGAAAGCAGCTTTCTCTTTCACAAAGAAAATCAAGATTTGTGTGTGCGAGTGAATCAGAAATAATGTTGATTGCAGATGATGATGATACAATGGGCTATACATCTTTTTAATGTTAAGCACAGATATTTGGATAATTTCATTAATTGAATTAGGGAAACGGCACTTCGTTTTGGAGGTCTCTCACAGGTCTGTTCGGGGTTTGATCGGGGGGTTGTTGTCTTAGACATTCTGTGTAAGCCCTTTTATCCATCCACTACTTCGACTACAATTTAAATATAACCCGCACAATTTACTTTCCCACTTAATCAAGACCACAATTACGAGAACAATTTCTTGGCCACATTTCCCTCCTTGACTGAGCTCAATTTGTTGGCCACACAACGATTTTGTCCCGGCTGTGGCTGTGTGCTTAACTTATTAGCTAATTAGTCAAATATTTGCGGGTTAATCACATCAGT